GCTCCGCCGTTAAGGTGGCCCGGCCGGGAGCCGCGCTGCTTCCTGGTCCGTCTTAAGGGGGACTGGGGGAAAGGAAGGGGAGGAATCCTTCCTCCTGGGGTGTGCTGTCCGCCCCGGCTCGCTCACTTGTTGAAAGGAAAGTAGGTGCGGGCAGAGGTGGGGCGTGGAGGTGGGGTGCAGTGCTCAGCCGTTGCTGGGCGGAGGGAAAAAAGGAAGCTTGTGCAGGCGGTTGGCTTCCTGCAGCTCCTCGGGGCCCCTCAACCTCTTACTCACTTAGACACAGGAACCAGAAACCCGAGGTGTCTGCGGAAACTTGTACCATCTCCTCTCACCCGCTGCCCCCGTCTGAATAGGGGGCTCAGCGGAGAAGGAAAAGGAATGGCTTGGGGTGCGCACATGCGAAGGCACACGCCTCGTACACAGTCCTCACCAGATCACACACACAGTCCTGGGTCGCATGCTGCTCCCTCTTGCCTCTGTACCCCCAAGAGGCACCTCCACGGTGCATGATAACAGCTGCCTATTTTTGAGACCTACTATGTGTGGCCTGTGGCACCAAAAGCTTTGCATGCAGGGTTTCCTTTCGAATACTCATGACACTCTTACAAGGTCCTTATTATTACCCTTGTTTCAGAGGTAAGAAAACTGAGGGTCAGTGATGGGCCCGAGGTTACACATCTGGATGAACCAGGATGCAAGACCAAGTCAGACGGACGCCAAGGCTTCCTGGACCGTTCTGCAGCTGTATCACACGCCAGCACACATTTCCATTTTAATCTGCACACAGTCAGATGTCGCGCACACTTGCTCACAGCCTATAAACTGTTAATCACACTCCCGCAGCCACACACCTACCAGCATTGTACAACAGTGCCACCCATAGATTTCGCCCAGAACCTTATGGCTTTCAAGTACAAACACGCACCATAACTGGTTCACTCACACACCACGTCTTCATTGACGGAGCTGTTCCCACACCTACCTCAGCACACACACTCCCTCATATGCGTATGCTTATGTGGAAGGCAGGTTAGAGTTGCAAAGGGCTGTGAAGAAAGTGACTCACCACAACTTCAGGGTTTTGAGAAGGGGCCTCTTTGATCCTCCCATCCTCACCCAACTTTTCACACGGGGAGGGTCCTCCTTTGCCATCTGTCCTTCCTGCCCCAGGTCAAAGCAGCACATGCACACTGAGAAACAGAATTGTGAATTACATACACCCTGGGCACTGGTTTTCCTCTGCCCATGAGCACCCTTCCCAATTGCCTCACATTTGGGTCCTTTCTGTTCTCTCTTAACTTTCCTATCCTCCTATTTTTCAACAACTCATCGACATCCTATTTCTGAGCTAGGGAAAGTTAAACAGACAAAAGTGAAATAACTTTTTAAAAATATTGTGCCCTAAAGGAAGGTATATTTGTCTGATTAGACTTAAACAGTTAAAAAATATTTCTTATTTTTAAATTACAGTTGACATGCACTATTATTTAGTTTCAGTCATACAACCCATTAGACATTCATGTAACGTACAAACTGATCTAGTACTCATCTGACAACATACATAGTTATTACAATATTATTGACTATATTCCCTATGTTGTACTTTACTATATTCCTTTTGCTGTCTCATGACTATTCTGTAATGACCAATTTGTACTTCTTTAAAATTTTTTTTAATGCTTTTATTGATTTTTAGAGAGAGAGAGAAAGGAAGAGAGAGAAAAACCTCAGTGTGAGAGAGAAACATTGATCAGTAGTCTCCAGTATGTACCCCCACCAGGGATTGAACCTGCAACCTGGGTATGTGCCCTGACTTGGAATCGAACCTCCGACCTTTTGGTGCACTGGACGATGCTCAACCAACTGAACCACACTGGCCAAGGCCAATTTGTGCTTCCTAATCCCTTCACCTTTTTCACCATCCTCTCCCCCAGAATTCTTTCCGTCTGGGTCACTGGCCAAATGTTCTCTGTATCTATGAGTCTGTTTCTGGTTTGCTTGTTTGTTTTGGTTTTTAGATTTCACATATAAGTGAAATCATGTGGCATTGTCTTTCTCTATCTGACTATTTTACTCAGCACAATACCCTTTAGGACCATCCATGTTGTTGCAGATGGCAAGATTTTATTCTCTCTTTTGGTTGAGTCATATTCCATTATATATATGCACCACTTCTTTATTTATTCATCTGTTGATGGACACTTAGTTTGTTTCTATATCTTGGCTATTGCAAATAATGCTGCACTAAACATATGGATGTATATGTCTTTTTTATTTAGTGTTTTGGGTTTCTTCAGATAAACACACAGAAGTCCAGAAGTGAAATTGCTGGGTCCTTTTTTGTCTCTTGTTATACACTTTGAAACAAGAAGTCTAGTATAACTATTGCAGGCCAGAGGGAATGGCACGAAATATTCTAAGTGATGAAATATTTTTGTATAACTATTGCTACCCCGGCTTTTGTTTTGCTGTATTTTCATGTTCATGAAATATTTTTTCCATCTCTTTAAGTCTCTGTGTGTCTATCTGTCTGAAGTGTGTAAGGGTCATGTTTTGTTATCCATTCATCTACATATGAGCTTTTATTTTAAAATATGTTTTTATTTATTTCAGAGAGGAAGGAAGAGGGAGAGAGATAAAAACATCAATGATGAGAGAGAATCATTGATTGATTGCCTACTGCACAGCCCCTACCAGGGATTGGGGATTAAGCCTGCAACCCAGGCATGTGCCCTGACTGGGAATCGAACCCTCACCTCCTTGTTCATAGGTCGATGCTCAACCACTGAGCCATGTTGGCTGAGCTTGATTGGAGCTTTTAATCTATTGGCATTTAAAGTAATTATTGATAGCTGGGCTTGATTGGAGCTTTTAACCATTTGCATTTAAAGTAATTGTTGCCTGACCTATGAACAAAAAGGTCAGGGTTCGATTCCACTCAGGGCACATGCCTGGGTTGCAGGCTTGATCCTTGGTGGGGGACCTGCAGGACGCAACCAATCAATGATTGTCTCTCATCATTGATGTTTCTCCCTCTCCTTTCCTCTCTGAAATCTATCTATCTATCTATCTATCTATCTATCTCCTGGTGTTTAAAATAAATAAAAAATAAATAAAAATAAAGTAATTGTTGATAGATGGGCTTGATTGGAGCATTTAATCCATTTGCATTTAAAGTAATTGTTAATAGCCTGGTTGGTGTGGCTCATTGGTTGTATAGACCCATGAACCAGGAGGTCACGGTTTGATTCCTGGTTAGGGCACATGCCCAGGTTGTGGGCTTGAACACCAGTAGGGGGCATGCAGCAGGCAGCTGCTCAATGATTCTTTCTCATCATTGATGTTTCTCTCTCTCTCTCACTCTCTCCCTTCCTCTCTGAAATCAATAAAAACATATTTAAAAATAAAATCATTATTGATATGCATGTATTTATTGCCATTTTATTATTTCTATTTTTTAATCTTTGTTTTCCTTCTTAAAGGAGATACTTTAACATTTCATATAATACTGGTTTGGTGGTGATGAACTCCCTTAGCTTTTTCTTGTCTGGGAAGCTCTTTATCTGTCCTTTGATTGTAAAGGTTGTAGGTACTTGCTTTTCATCACTTTGAATATTTTGTGTCATTCCCTTCTGGCCTATAAAGTTTGGGTTGAGAAATCAATTGAAAGTCTCACGGGAGCCCCCTTGTAGGTTACTAATTGCTTTTTTCTTGCTGCTTTTAAGATTCTCTTTGTCTTTAACCCTTGGCATTTTAATTATGATGTGTCTCGGTGTGGGTCTCTTTGGGTTCATCTTGTTTGGGACCCTCTGCACTTTTTAGACTTGTATATCTATTTCCTTCACCAGCATAGAGAACTTTTCCATTATTATTATTTTAAATAGGCTTTCAATTCCTTTCTTCTTTCCAGCACCTCCATGACGCAAATGTTGGTTTGCTTGAAGTAGTCCCAGAGGCTCCTTAAACTGTCCTCATTTTTTGGGATTTTTTTTTCTTTTTGTTGTTCTATGGGTGTTTTCTGCTTCCTTATCTTCCAAATCACTGATGTGATCTTCTACTTTATCAACCTACTGTTGATTGCCTGTAATGTATTCTTCAGTTATTGTATTCTTCATTTCTGACTGGTTCTTTTTTATGTTTTCTATCTTCATTTTTATGCTTCCTATCTTTTTGTTGAAGTTCTCACTGAGTTCATCTACTCTTCCCCTAAGTTCATTGACATTCTTACAACCAGTGTTTTGAATTCTGAATCTGATAAATGGCTTGTCTCCATTTTGTTTGTTTATTTATTTCTGGAGTGTTGTTCTGTCCTTTCATTTGGGTCGTGTTTCTTTGTCTCCTTATTTTGGTAGCTTCCCTGTGTTTGTTTCTATGTATTAGGCAGAGCTGCTATGTCTCCTGATCTTGGTGGAGTGGCTTTCTGGGTCCTGTGGGCCCAGTTGCACAGCCTCCCTGATCACGTAAGCTGGGTATTCCAGTTGTCCCCTCCTCCCCTGTGTGGGCTATGTGCATCCTCCTATTGTAGTTGAGGCTCGAGTGCTGTTGTCATGTCAATATGAAGGATTTACCCCAAGGTCAGTTGGCTGTGATGACTGACCACAACCACAGCGGGGGATCGGCTGTGCCGGGGCTGACCCCACAGAACAGGACTTGCTTTAGAATCTTTTGGTGCCTGACAAGTTCACCCCTTGAGTGTGTCGCTCCTGGAGGTGGTTGGATGGGGCTCTGGCATGGTTGAAGGGATGTACAGGGTGTGCTGGCTTTGGGGCCTCCCCGTAGGTGCAGGCCAAGGTCAGCCACCGCCTGTGCCCTG